TTTATGTTCTGCTTGCAACTCCCACAAGTAAGGATATCAGACAACGCCGTGAACACAGTGAAAAATTCAATGAAACGATAACAGTGTAACGGATTCACGCGAACGTTTTCACTCGTAGCAGTACTAAGTTTTTTCGCGCTAGCACTCGGACCCGCGGTTTCACTTGCATCTTTGCTAGTAAACTGATTCCCATGGAATGAGACCGAGTAAGCGGCACACATTTTGTCGACAGTATCCACTCCGCCTTTGGTTTCGTTGTTGTTAACTCCATACTTGTTCGAGGAGTTAGATTATGTAGTAGATCAATTTATTTTATCTACGATCACAATAACTTCTTAAAATTAATAACCAGAAATATGGTCTAGCAAAGTCCAAGTTCTGGTCAGGCGTCCAAATGCCTTCAGAAACCAAGATGTTCCCGTTGGCGTCCAAGTGCCTTCAGAAACCAAGATTGGTCTGGTTGGCGTCCAAGATGCCGTCCTCGAGGAAGACATCATGTCTCCCTCTTAGTGCCTCCTTGGAGGCGCCGATGTTTGGATTGGGCCTTGTCCTGCCCAATCCGGAATTTGTTTAGGTTTTGGATTATGCAACGCCCACAGCCTAGTTTGTTCATCTTGCAAATCAAGGTCTGCAGGACGTTGCACAATCCCTGGGTTAATTTATTACCCTACTTTGTAGTGACTGTCCTGGTCCTGATGGCAAGCACGTGAGGGTCTGCGATACATCAATTGCCGTTGAGGGTGGTCTAACCGGGGACCGTTTCCAGAGAAATCTGAAACCGGCATCCGGCCAGACCTAGTCCTTTGGAAATTGCATGCTGTCCGTGAAAAATTGTGACTTCCTCAAAAACGGCACTGTTCATTGTCGAGTGTAGCGGAAACCCTTCACGTGGCGGCAACAGTTGTAGACCAGTATAACCTGAGGCTTTTTGGTGTCGGGATCCATTTCGCTGTCGTCATGTAATGTTGAGAGTAATATTACAGATTTATTTTTCCGAGGTACATAGGGCACTAACATTTCGTCCTTTTGGAAACCAAAAAAAAAGAGCGGATTTAACAGTCATGCTTTTGTCTGCCTGGCGAAAATTGTTTTGGGATTTCAGATTTGTTTTTCTTCATTGTGTCTAAGACCGTTATTTTTTTTGTAAGCAAATAATCAGCAAGTGGTACACTTGTGTACCAATTATCGATAATCAAATTCCGCTTTGAGTTTTCTATCGGAGTGACTAGTCGCTTTACAATATCTGTTGGGGTATTAGAGGCCGCAAATGGTCCATCGAGTTGTTTTCCGCAATATATTTCTAGAATGGATGTGTAAAAACTTTTAGCATCACATAACGCAAAAATCTTCAGCCTGTATTTCGCTGGTTTACTAGGTATATATTGGATGAAGCTACAACGATCCTTAAATGGATGCAGCATCTCATCGATCGTAGTATATTCGCTCAAGTTGAATAATAACTTGCAGTTGTTGACAAAAGCTTGGAAGAAGTCACGAATTCCTACCAGTTTGTCAACTTTCCTCCTTTCGCTTCTGGTATTCTTGTCATCGAATCTCAGGCAGCGGATGATGAAGAGAAATTTCTTGTAACTCATGACAACTCTTGTTATTTGAATTCCGGTACCGTCACTGGAAAAGATCTCTTTCACATTTGCGTGGTGAGATTTGTTTATACCGATCAAATATAGTAGACCCAAGTATGCCATAAATTCATTCTTGTTGATGTTTTTACAGCCCCGATCTCTAGAGTACTGGTGATCAACTCTCAGCTGATCGATATGCATATTTGTGTGCTTCAAAATGTCGTCAATCATAGAGATGTCGATAATTTGGAAGAACGCATCCAGTTCATTCTCAATACCAAGAGCTCGATGAGTCAGGCCAGTGGGTACCGTGACTACGTTTATCCCCTTAGTTTTTCCAGAAACACGGTATGTTTGCTTACGCCATTTTGTTGATTTATTTCTTCCAATGAAAAATTCTTCCATGATTTCCTCCTCTTCTTCAGATTCGTCTGAAGTGTTGCTTGATTTCTTCTTCCGAAAACTCGCTGTCACTCGAGGGAAAGTAAATCTCATCATCTTGCTCTGGCTCACCGAATAAATCTTGAGCGATTTTTTCTCACTCATTTTGTGTAAGCGGCCTACAAGCCATAATGGGGCACGTCTAAAATGAAAAAATACATTTAGCTATAAAGGAAACGATATAAATGAGGAAGATATCAGAAAAAAGTAGTTTATTTAATATACTTACACTTGAAGGCGCGTGTCGTAAAATTTACGCTCAACGAAAATTGCTCGGATAGCAAGCACTTGTGCGCACACGCGATACGTCTGTAATATTTGAGATACTAACAGTCAAATAGCTGAGAGCTCGATACTCGCGACTAAGTGGTAAAAGTGGGGGAAGCGATTAGGCACTCCTGTCGTAAATTTTACGACAGCGCGCTCGTTGGAAGGTTAAAAACAAAAACTTGTTAAAAATTTATCTGTCTGAATTTAATGTATAAAAACGACGTTACTTTCCGGTCTTCCTAATACAACGACATAATATTTTTTCGGATGCTGGTCTCGATCGACCGAAGATAAAATCTTCATAGGTTCCGCGTAGTCGATGCTCGTGTGCGAAAACGGAGCGGAAGGCGTGACACAGGGGCGGGGAATGTTCCTCATCAGCTATTGAGCGGTCCGCGCGCGCTCGCAAACGCATTGAACGCATTTATGTATGTGTGCCTTTACACTGGTACGTGCTGAAAGGATCCAGTAATTTTGACATATAATTCGAAGGGTCTACTGGGAGTCTCCATGAAGGGCGGTTTTGTGAGCCTTATCGATTAATAGATTGGAAATTCGATGTGTCGGTAAGATTATTGGATGGCGTTCGTTGTAACTCAGCGGGGAATGATGAAGCGAGAAAGGGATGAAGCGCCAATAAAGGACTGGATTTGGGTATGGCAGAATTATTCTTGGAGCTCGATAGCAGATAAGAGTTCTGTGTTTAAAGTTGAATTAGTTCGGAGATTTCTTAAATTGTTAATTGTTGGATTTATGGGGCTTCACAAAATTAACAACACTCTCTGATAAACAGTTCAATATATACAGGGTGTCCCAAAGATGTTGCGGGTCCTTAAAGGGGGTGATTCGGGGGATGATTGCAAACAACTTTTTCCTTTGTGAAAATGCTCTCCGGGGTTTCGTTAACGAGATATTAACAAAAAGCACCGACCAATCAGATCGCGCGCTTTCCGCCCGAGCTCCCATGCTAGCATGGCTACGCGCCGTGCTAGCGTGGCTACGCGCCGCGCTGCGACTTGTGAACAAGCAACTCGGCATGCAACGAGGAAAATTGCGTAGAATGGCAAATGAAAAAGGCGTAGCAAATAAAATCGAACACGTTGTCATGGTTTGTTTGTTATTTAAAGTGAATGATGAATAAAGGATAAATAGATGAAAATCACGTGTAACGTAAAAAGACGAATACACATTTTTTTTAGAGGATTCGAAAATAATAGTTATTTGAAGTGGGAGGATATGGAATACGTAAAATTCCTTGTGTCAATAACGTATCCACGAAAAGGAAATTAACGAAAAGTGATCGTAGTTCGTTATTGTGATATAAATCCGTAATTTAATAACGACCAGCACTGTTACTGATAACGAATAAGTCTGTTTAAAAAGCCCGGATAAATATTTTCGTACGAGAATTTTAAGAATTATTGCCGGAAACAAGCCATAGCTTGCGTTAAATTTAAAAATGAATGATTACCAATAAACTGACTAAAACTCACCCTTGTCGAAAATGCACCTGTAACTTGAAAACTTGTGTCACTGGGTCACTGAACCGATCCTGGTCATCGATGGACGAGCCCAGTGCACAGCTGATCCCAGGTATACGACACTACCCAAAGTTAAGGGTCGCAATGTCAGGTGCGTCCAGGTCAACGTATCGAATATTCACTTCACTGCACGGCTACTAACACTGATCACTTTATTTTTTTGTCGTGAAACGTATTGTTCTTACGTTTTAAAAATTGGTGGCCCCGAAAGGGGCCGATTGTTATTAATGAAAGTATTGCTCCACATGACGGCCGTCATTATCCACACATGCTTGAGCGCGGAGAATTAATTGTCTTTGGACGCTGTTTGAGATTGAAGTGAACTGTAGAGATTTTCATTGAGATGCCGGTTATGAGAGGGTTCGCGAAAAATGACTATGGTGCAAAGTTAATTAAACAAGGTCTTTATTAACAACATTGTCCCGTTTGTGAAATACATAATTAATGAGCGGTACGTTAAGTAAGAGTTTTACACGAGCGGTTATGAGAAATGGCGATATTATTGATCGCCATTTCTGAGCGCGAGTGAGAATGAGAATCAACCGTTTATTACGAGTTTAAAACTCATAATACCCTTGCAATTATATTAATTGCAAGGGGTTTATGAGCGTGAGCCTTGATAATTTGTTGTGAATTAATTACATTGACCACAGTAGATTATGTGCGGCACAAAAGAACAAAGGAAACTACGATTGAGAAACAGAGCACACTTGTCGCGTTTGAGATTACGAACAAGACAGACTTAATGGCCGCGCTCGTGGTCACCACGAGGTTTCGACCGGCCGGTAGCGAGATCGTTGCGCGCGCAGGTGGGCCAGCTATCCTGCTCGCGCACAAAGTGTGCCCGAGAGGTGCTGCCAATGAGCGTCGTGGTGGCCACGGCATGAGCGAAACATTGAAAGGAAACAAGGCACGTGCGTGTTGCTAAAAATGAGAGTTAATTCTCGAACATTCCGCCCGCCATCAGCCACTTGTGGCTGATGATTCCGCTGTTGGTAGGATGGCCAGCTTCGCAATCGGTCTGGTGAGTGTGGTGGTCGCGGTCTTCAGGGTGACCACCCTGGTGAGTCCGTCCTTCCCTGGATGTATTGGGTTGTTCGGAAAGTCATTTCGTTTTTTTTGGGGAACATGAAAGACAGTTTTCGTATAATGAATAAATATTTTATTAAATTATATATTGGCCATTCTGGTCCAACACCTTTTGCCATCTTTCTGGCAGTAACATAATTCCCCTCTCATAAAAGTTTTGGTCCTTGCTGGCAAAAAACTGGTTCAGGTGGTTTTTGACATCTTCATTTGAGGTAAAGGTTTTGCCATCCAAAAAATTTTGCAGGGACCGGAACAAATAGTAGTCGGAAGGCGCCAGATCTGGAGAATATGGTGGATGTTGCAGTACGTCCCATTCAAGCTGTAAAAGTTTTTGGCGAGTGACCAAACTTGTGTGAGGTCTCGCATTATCCTGGTGGAACACTACACCCTTCCTGTTGATTAATTCGGGCCTCTTCTCTTTAAGTGAATCATTCAATTTGTCCAGCTGATGACAATAGACTTCTGAATTAATCGTTGTATTGTCCGGCAAAAGCTCAAAAAAAACGATTCCTTTGACATCCCACCAAACGGAGAGCATCACCTTTTTTTGGTGAATGTTGGCTTTTGACACGCTTTGAGCCGGTTCATCTTTTCTGCTCCATGACCTCTTGCGTTTAACATTGTTGTATACAACCCATTTTTCGTCCCCAGTAATAATCCGCTTCAAAAATGGATCATTTTCTTGACGTTTGAGGAGCGAATCACACGCGTCAACGCGACGACACAAATTTCGCTCCGTAAGGACATGGGGCACCCACACATCGAGCTTCGAGGTTAAGTCCATGCCTTTCAAATGGCCATAAACAGTTGAATTCGACAAATTTAACCTCTCACCGATCTCTCGTGTGGTTATTCGCCGATTTGCATCAACTAATGCCTTTATCGCATCTTTGTCAGCTTCGACCGGCCTTCCAGACCGTGGTGCATCTTCGACATCAAAATTGCCGGATCGAAATTTTGCAAACCAGTTCTGGCACTGGCGTACTGTTAACACGCCTTCTCCATACACATCCGTCAATTTTTTTTCTCGCTTGGACAGCATTTTTACCTTTTCTGAAGTAAAAAAGTAAAATATGACGAAAATGCTGCTTATTGCTCTCCATATTTAAAAGGGCACCAACCAAAAACTACTGTGTAGAATTAATAGAACTTTTTCACACACAAGCCTTGCAATATCAGCTCTCAAGACATATAATGGTTATGCGGCTTAAGTGTGAAGTTGGTTTCGAAAAAACGTAATTAAGTCCTCTGACGGGAAAAAACGAAATGACTTTCCGAACAACCCAATAGTTCCAGAACTCGTGCAAGAGGCCACTTGCAAGGTGGAAACCTCTCGTCGGTGATGAGAACCAGTGATCCAACCTTGATGGCATTGGATGGGTGATGCCATTTTGAGATGGCTTGTTGCCGCTGCAAGTAATGAGATGACCATTGAGCCCAGAACCGTTGAACCCGTTGTTGAATGAGCTGCCACATTGCCCTTGGTGGAAGTGAGACGTCCTTCAACGAAGGTTCAGGCAATGTTGAGAGAGCAGTGCCGATGAGAAAATGAGCAGGCGTGAGCGGTGAGAGATCTTCAGGATCATCGCTGAGTGGTTCGAGGGGTCGTGAGTTGAGAATTGCTTCTACCTGGGTCAGAAGCGTGCTGTACTCTTCGAAGGTGAGGAGGGTATCACTCACGGTACGCCTGAGATGGAACTTGAGAGACTTCACGACAGCTTCCCATTTTCCACCCATGTGCGGTGCTGCAGGTGGATTGAAGCACCATTCTGTCCTGTCGTTGACAAATAAATGAGTGAGGTGAGAATGTGATTTTGATCCCTGAGTGAACATTGCCTTGAGACATGAGTCTGCTCCGGTGAAATTGGTGCCACAGTCAGTGTAAACCTTCTGTGGGATTCCTCGCCTAGATGAGAATCGCCTGTACGTTGCTATGAAGCCTTCGGTTGAGTAGTCTGACACCAGCTCTAGATGAACAGCTGATGTGGTGAGACAAACGAAGACGCAGATCCATCCCTTCGATGTTTTGGCGCCTCGTCCTTTCCAAGTTTTGAGAGTGAGTGGACCGGCATAGTCCATGCCGGTATGAGTGAATGGCGATGACGGTGTGACTCGAGAAAGAGGTAGTTGGCCCATCAGTTGATGGGCACGGATCCCCCTTTGGCGAGCACACGTCAAACACCGCAGAATATGAGCCTTGACTGGAGCTCTTCCTCCGATGATCCAGTAGGTTTGTCGAATGTAGGCGAGTGTGAGTTGAGTTCCACCATGAAGAGTTTGTTTGTGAGCGTGATCTATAATCAATTCAGACAAACGTGAGTGGCGAGGCAAAATAGCGGGATGTTTACCCTCGTAGCGGAGCTGAGAGTTTTCCAATCGTCCGCCGACTCTGATGATTCCCTTATCATCAATGAAGGCAGTCAGGTGACTGAAGGCATGAGATGAAGGCAGCGATGAGTGTGAGGTGAGCATCTTCATTTCATGAGCGAAGTAGATGGTCTGAGTTGCCCTGATCCAGAATTTCTGAGCATCTTCCAGATCACTCGGCGAATGTGAGGTATAGGCTGGTGAGCAGTGGACCCCTTTTAATTTTGCTATAAATCTGAAACAAATAGCAGTGATGGTGAGAAGTTTCTTGAGCGTTGAGTATTTGTGAATGAGATCCCACTGATACTCGATCTTTTGGGAGATGAGCGCAGTAGGAATACTTGGACGCGCTTCTAGTGCACATGAGGCGTCCTTGAGCTTCGGTTGTGATGGCCATGAGTCCTGGGGTTGAGTAAGCCATGGTGGTCCCGTCCACCATAGCTGATGATGTTCAAGCTGAGCAGTTGAAAGGCCTCGTGATGCGCAGTCAGCTGGATTCGATGTTCCAGACACATACCCCCAATGTGCCTCAGGTGTGAGTTCTTGTATCGCCAATACTCTGTTTCTCACATAATCCTTCCAGCGTGATGCGTGAGATTTGATCCATATGAGTGTGACTTGAGAATCCGTCCACAAGTGAGTTGTAGCAATGTTGAGATTGAGCTTCGCTTGAACATAGCTTGCCAGCCTTGCAAGCATAAGAGCTGCTGTGAGCTCCAGTCTCGGGATAGTGAGTTTCTTGAGAGGTGCGACCTTCGTCTTGGCGCACACCTGTGACGTCACCTTGAGATTTGTGGACGGTGAGAAGACCGTGATGTAGATCACGGCTGCCATGGCGAGCTGAGATGCATCAGAGAAACCGTGTATTTCCACCACTGAGTCTTGACAGGTGTTGAACCAGCGTGGAATTGAGAGTCTGGCCAGACTTGTGAGATCTTCTCTGAGGATGAGCCATCGTTCTGTGATGTGGGATGGTAGTGATTCATCCCAGTTGAGTTTGTGCAGCCATAATTCTTGCAATAAAATCTTACAGCGAATTATGACCGGTGAGAGGAAACCAAGTGGATCAAATATCTGTGCTACTTGAGATAGTATGAGGCGTTTACTTATCTTGGTTGGGGGTGAGAATGAGTCCTCCTTCGATGAGAATGTAAATGTATCCTTGAGAAAATTCCATTGCATTCCGAGTATTTTGGTTTTGCAGTCGTCCAATGAGAGTGATGAGCCTTGAGCATGAGCTTCAGGTGAGATGGCTTCGAGTAGCGCGGGGCAGTTTGAATGCCACTTAGCAAGTGGGAAACCGCCCGCGTTGCACAGACCTTGAAGCTGATGAGCGAGTTTCTTGAGATCTTCTGGTGAATCTGCTCCTCCAAAGATGTCGTCGACATATCTGGCATGAGTGATCGATGGTACGGCCAGAGGATAATGATGACCTTCATCCTCAGCTAATTGCAGCAATGTTCTGACCGCAAGATACGGTGCTGCCTTGGTACCGTAGGTGACCGTAGTGAGCTGAAATTGAGTCTCTTGCAGGTCCTTATCCACCCACAATATTCTTTGCAGATCCCAGTCGTCTTCATGCACTCTGATTTGCCGATACATTTTGGTAATATCGGTTGAGAATGTGTATCTGTGCTGACGAATCCATAGGAGCACGTCAGTGATGTTGAGCAGTAGGTTTTCACCAGTGTGCATGATGTCGTTGAGAGAATATCCAGAAGATGTTGAGCTTGAGCCATTGAAGACAACTCTCAGCTTCGTAGTCGTGCTGTCTGGTTTCAAAACACCATGATGAGGCAGATAGAAAGTTGTTGAGTGTTGAGATGAGCGCGATGATGCTCTCTTCATGTGCTGCAGATTCTCGTATTCCTCCATAAACTCTTGATAGAGGTGAAGATCTTCTTCATTCCTCTTGAGCTTGCGTAGAGTACGATTCAAACAAGCATGAGCGATGTTGTACGAGTTTCCCAACATGGTTGAAGGCAGTTTGAGAGGGATGCGCACGATGTATCGCCCATCCGGATCCCGCAAGTGAGTTGTTCTGAAGTGATCCTCACACTCTTGCTCTTTAGGGGTGCGTTGAGATTGGTTGGTGATTGGAACCTCTTCCTGTGTCCAGAATTTCGTCAAGAGATGTTGGAGAGACGATTCTTCTTCTTCTTGAGTTGAAACCTGGTGAGATGTGAGCGCTCGAGTTGATGCTGAGCCCACTGGTCCAATAACCAACCAACCAAAGATTGAGAGTTGAGCGATAGGCGTTGATGGTAAACCCTTGATGAGATTGGGCTTGATGACATGCCCGTAGGAATCTGCACCGATGATCACGTCGATTGAGCGAGGCACCATGAAGTCTGGGTCAGCGAGCTTGAGATTTTTGAGATGAGGCCATTCTTGTTGATCCACGTTGGTTGATGGCAAGATGGTCGTCAATGTTGGAAGAACGTGAGCTCTGAGTCTCACTGATGCGTTGCTGTAGTTGGAATGCAACGTCAATGACACAATGCCTCGAGTAGTTGTTGATTTTCTGCCACCAATGCCAATGATCGACATTGACGAGTGTGAGCGTAGAAGATTGAGCTGCTTGATGAGATCTTCCCTAACAAAGGAGACCTCTGACCCAGAATCAATTAAAATTCTTACTTGATGTTTTGCCACCGTTGAGATGACGTGAGCGGCTGCCGTTGCCAGCAGCGTGAGCGATGGATGAGCCTGGATTGAGCGTGAGTGTGTTGTTGAGTGGACGACTGCACCTAGTTCTCAATTGCTGCGAGCGGAGGGTTGAGCGGTGGTTGTGCGGTGGAGCATCGAGTGATGATGCCCCTTGCACTGCTTGCAGCGTTGGGCTGAGCGGCAATTTCTTGTGGAATGACGCCCGCAGCAATTTGAGCAGAGCACCAGATGCTCCACTGCCTTCCATCGGTCGTTAATGCTCATTTCCCGGAACCTTGAGCACATGACGATGAAGTGGTCGCCGTGGCATATGTCACACGGATACCTCCCGGGATCTTGAGCGGTGTAGGCGTTGTCGATATTGGTGGCGCGATGAGCAGGAGCGGTTGAGGCATGGGCGGTGGCAGCATGAGCGGTGGTTTTGAGAGGTGGCTTCGTTGCCACGGGCTGATCCTTCGCTGCCGCGGCTTGGCCCAAGCCTTCGAGCGCTGTTACCCGCGCCGCCACGAAATCTCGTACTCTTGTGAGCGGTGGGAAGTCGTTGCTCGACCCGATCTCGTGCTCCCACGCCTCCCGTGTGGTCCTGTCCATGTTTCTGACAAGGCAATGGACCAGGACGGCGTCTCCGATGTCTGAGACTCCCAGTGCGGCGAGGGAGGTGGCCACATCATGAATCGTGGCTGAGAGGCTGCTGAGTGATGTTGCGTTTCGTGGCGGCACGGGTGTGAGGAGTTGGAGTTTGTCCAGCTGGGAAGTGATCAGCAACCTCTTGTTGGAATATCGGGCAGTGAGTGTGTTCCACGATGGGATGAAGGATTTCCCGACGAGTGGAAGGTTGCTGATCAGTCGGGCTGGTTCTCCTTTGAGCGCCGATCGTAGGTAGTGAAGGCGCTCAATGTCGTTGAGCGCCCCATTGTCGAGGATGAGCGATGTGAACATATCCCTGAAGGTGGGCCACTCGTTGAAGCTCCCCGAGAACTCCGGGAGGGTTATCTCTGGGAGCTTCGGCGTTGATCTTTGAGCGGTCGGTTGAGCGGGCTTTGTCGGCTCCTGCATCGCCTTGAGTTTTCCTGCTGCCCTGCGGATGTCAAATACGATGGCCGCCTCGACGCCAAAGTGTTCCGCGGCGAAATATTCGTGATCGAGGTGAGCGGCAGGCCAGGTGGACTCCAGGTAGGCATGATCCTTCATGAAGGCCTTGTGGACCTCGTCCACCTGGTTCATGAACGCAGCCATCTCCTGCGGTGATGTCTCGGAGGCTGTGAGCGGTAGCTGCCCCTGAATCCGCATTAGAATCTGAGTCCGACAGAGCTGGCTATGGAATTTACATAGCAGCTCTGTCGGAATTGGCGTAGCAGATTGGGACCTGGTGCGCGGCGGATTTTGAGCGGCAGGCACCTCCAGTGAGAGGTGAGAGGCTGTTGGTGAGACGGGCGCAGCGGGGGCAGGTGATGTAGGCCGCGAGGTTGACTCCTCCTCCTTCTTCGTGCACTTCGCCTTGTCGCACATGTCGACGCACTTCACTTTGCACGTGAGGTTGAGTTGGTGAACACTGAGTGTCACTGGGCGGGATGAGCGTCACTGTTGAGGTTGAGTGTCACTGTGAACGTTGAGTGTCACTGGTTGAGAGTGAGAGTCACTAGTGAGTTTGAGCGTCACTGCACTGGTTGAGCGACACTGCGCGACCGTTGGGGCGTGGGCATTGTTCACAACGAACACGCGCACACAAGGTGAATTGAAGTTCACGAGCGTTATGTTAAGAGAAAACCACAATGGTTTATGAATTCACTTCACCCTTTGCACCATATCATATCGCGATCCGGCTCGAAGGACCAAAAATGTTTGAGATTGAAGTGAACTGTAGAGATTTTCATTGAGATGCCGGTTATGAGAGGGTTCGCGAAAAATGACTATGGTGCAAAGTTAATTAAACAAGGTCTTTATTAACAACATTGTCCCGTTTGTGAAATACATAATTAATGAGCGGTACGTTAAGTAAGAGTTTTACACGAGCGGTTATGAGAAATGGCGATATTATTGATCGCCATTTCTGAGCGCGAGTGAGAATGAGAATCAACCGTTTATTACGAGTTTAAAACTCATAATACCCTTGCAATTATATTAATTGCAAGGGGTTTATGAGCGTGAGCCTTGATAATTTGTTGTGAATTAATTACATTGACCACAGTAGATTATGTGCGGCACAAAAGAACAAAGGAAACTACGATTGAAAAACAGAGCACACTTGTCGCGTTTGAGATTACGAACAAGACAGGCTTAATGGCCGCGCTCGTGGTCACCACGAGGTTTCGACCGGCCGGTAGCGAGATCGTTGCGCGCGCAGGTGGGCCAGCTATCCTGCTCGCGCACAAAGTGTGCCCGAGAGGTGCTGCCAATGAGCGTCGTGGTGGCCACGGCATGAGCGAAGCATTGAAAGGAAACAAGGCACGTGCGTGTTGCTAAAAATGAGAGTTAATTCTCGAACAGACGCCCTGTAATGTTTGCGGCGTTATTTTTTCCACCGCTGCGTGGATAAGCGCAATTGCTTCTTGAGGGGTGTCCACCGGTTGACGGTACACTTCATTCTGAAATGATTGTTGTACAACAAATACAAAACGTAAGTAAAAAAAAAATTATCTACCATAGGAATAAGTAAAGAGTAACAGCAACAATCAAATTACCTTCAGGTAGCCCCAGAAAAAAAATCCAGCGGATTCATATCCGGTGACCGTGGGGGCCACGCAACGTGGGCCTCTCGCCCGCCGCGGCCGATCCACCTGTCCTGAAAGGTTTCACCTAAATAAGCGCGGACATCCATGGCGAAGTGTGGCCCAGCTCCGTCATGCTGGTAGTACATGTTCTGTCGGATCTCATATGGAATATCGTCCATAAGATCCGGCAGAACATGTTCCAAGAAACATTTATACGCTGGGCCGTCCAGTCTGTCTGGCAGAATGTACGGCCCAACGATAAATTCACCACAAATGCCGGCCCATAGGTTGATCGACCAACGGACTTGTGCTCCACGTGGACGAAGCGCTAAGGGATTTTCATCGCTCCACACATGCATATTGTGGGAATTGAAGCAACCTTCCCTGGTGAAAATTGCTTCATCCGTCCACAATATGCATGTGGTGAACGATGGATTCCTTAGCGCTTCTCCCAACAGCCACCTGGAATATTGAACCCGCTTTACATAATCTCCGGCGTGCAACTGTTGCACCCGTACATATTTGTACGGATGCAACTTCCGATCCCTGAAGATGCGATGTATCGTCGTCTTGCTGACACTAGAACAAAATGCAAAAACATACACTATTAGATAACATTTTTTTTCTTAATTAATAATTGCTGCAGTTATCTTGAACTGTGACTTACTTTAGGCGACGGTTCAAAATGCGCACACTAATTGTTGGGTCAGCTTCAACGGCGTCGAGGATTCTCCCGATGGTGCCCGGATTTCGCGCTGCTGCGAGTCTGCCCACCTCGCTGCCTCGCGGCATCATGGACCCCGTTGAATACAATCTCGACGCTAAGCGACGAAATGTATCCTCGCTTGGCGTTTGAATATTAGGGAATTCTAACGCAAATGCTCGCACAGCAGCACTTGCGTTCCCGTTGTTCCGGGCGTACACCCAGAACATCCTATAGTACTCTTGAGCCGTGTACATTTCTACGACGGGTTTGCTAGCTGACTGACAGGATTTTTTTCAAGCAACTTCCACTACCCCGAAATAGCTTCTCTCGTTCCATTATGAGTTAACTCCCACCAGGACAAAATTTAGAGAAAAAGAAACCAGCATTTGCTGAAAAAACACGTGGCCTGCAGAAGTGCAACGAAAACTTTCACAAAAGCCCGCGTTCTGTCCTTCTACTGCCAATGTACCCATTGCCTCGAGATAGAAAACATACACCACGTGTATCGGTTCGAAAGGGCCCGAAGAGAAGAGAAACAGAAAGTCTTCGAGTTGCTATAAAGAAGAAAATGCATACCATTCCTGTTTCACCTTTCCGATACCCTGAGTTTACGTCTGCTACGAGGCGAAACCAATTAAGTCATAAATTATCCGAAACTGTAGGAAACTGTTCTCTACCACCGACTAGCGGGGCAATACGGTCATAAACCGCAACCCTGGCGAAATGCTCTGGCTGATCAGCCTGATTAATTTTGGAGAACTAGAAATTACAGATTATTATCCAACATCAATACGCCTCGCGGAGAGACACAGGAAGAGGTGGGACCGCTGTCCACCATCTCTCGTCCGGAATACGTCGACGCGTATTAAGTCGCAGACGATCGCGTGAGGGAGGAGTTTCCTGGCCAACGGGGCAGGAAAATCGATCCTCCTCCCCCAAGTCGATGGCCAATCGATAAACGGAAAAAGTCAACTCGAATCGGTTGACAAACCCCCGCAATCGCGTTTCGGAGGGGGTTCGAGCCGAGGAGGAAACGGGCTCCGGACACTTCGACACTCGTCGCCGAAACCTCAGAGTAAACGTTCCAAAATCTGCAGTTCCATCGTTTCGGGAACACTCGTCATTCGATCTTCGAAGAAATCGCAGCTTAGAAAGTTCAATCGTCTCGTGAACCATTCGTTGTTCGAAGATCATTTCGCGAAAGCTCAGCTCAAGCGGTTCGTGAGCAACAACTCGTGATACGACATTAAAGAGAACATTCGGATTTCGATTCGAAACAATCCGGCAATTCAATAGTTGCTCAAGATTAATTTGGCGAGCGACGGCTAGGAACCCGCGTACCACGAAGGTTAAGAGGGCCTTACAACCCCTCAGATTTTGAAAGAAAACTCACGCGACTACCTGGCCAGTACCGCCGCGACGCACAGTGGTCTAGAAGTCACTTCTAGCGCGAATTAATTATTGTGTGAGGAAAAAATTGACATTTTGTGTAAAAATTACTTACAAATATTTGAGTAAAGTAAATAAAACATAATTTACAATACTGACTACATGTTTATTAACCCTCCGAGTACGGGACTTCGAGTCCTGAGCCTGGGTTCTTACAGACCCCACACCGATAGTTCACTAATACATATTCACGGTGGCTCGAGACCCTCACCGATACTGTACTCAGGTAGGGACGGTCGAGATCCTCGCCGAAATACTAGGCAAAGTGGTGGAAAGGGTTTCGGATTACGTTTGGATATTTGGTGTACTTATACGAAACAATAATAGGGTTGCGATTTGTGAATTATAAAAAAATTATGTTTATTCATTTATATTACTTACTACATGTATTACATAACAGTGTGCGGTTTTCGGTAGAGTGGTTTTTACAAACATGTTTCTTACAGGAATCGCATACATTGTGATATTTGTTGTTGTTCCCTATACAGAAACAACATTTACCACGTTTGTGACCTGCTAATTGTTTGTCTTTTTTTACAATTTTTCTGCCCGTCGCTTCTATCGCGATTGCAATATTGGCTTGTAGCCCTCCTCCTTCACTTTCAAATTTCGTCGCCCGTCTATCAATATTGTTAGCAGTTAATTTTTTTGCTAACTCTTGCAAAAATAACTTTCTCCTCATGTTTGAGGAGTGTCTAACTTCCCATGTTGGATATTTCGTATGCCATACGACAAAAGCATTGTATGCGGCGATATCGATATAGTGCATAAATAGTGCTAATGGTCAACGGCGGGTGCAACGCCTACAAGAGTACTCCCTTACTAGTTTATCTAATATATCTACCCCACTTTTTGAGGAATTATAATATTTTATTATTTCCGGTTTGAACTTTTCTGCTGCTGTAGATATATTGTGTTCGCGGTGTAGTGTTGAAAGTAAAACAACGCACTTTCGCGGTTTCGGGATATACGATACTAAACTTATTGTTTCTGTAAATAAAAAATGAGACGAATATGTAAGTCGATCTTGTATTTTTGTTAGTATTTTTGGTAGGTCCCGCCTATTTTTTCGAATTGTTCCAACCAAAAACAGTTTGTTTTCTAGCAGATATTCCGCCAAACTTATATCTGTGAAAAAATTATCTGTTGTTACACAGCGTCCAGAATTTCTCCAAAAATCTGTCATTTCTTTGACGACCCGTTGCCCTTGTTGCTTTTCTGGGGCCTGACCTTGTTCCCCCAGGTATATTTGCATGTTGCAGCAATAAAAAGTCTTTGAATCGCAAAGGGTCCATATTTTGATGCCATATTTTCCTGGTTTGCTTGGCATATAGACTTTAAACGAGCAACGACCGCGAAATGTAACTAGTTGTTCATCGACGCACCCAACGGCCGTTGCATCGTACGAGTCCTTGCAGTTTTGTACAAACATATTTGTAATGTCCCTCAGAGGTGCCAATTTATCCTTTGATTTCCTTTATTCTCGTGTGGCAGAATCGTCAAAACGGATATACCTGAGTAAAATGTAAATGTAAATGTAAGTGTGGATGTATGTGAAGATGTAAGCGAAAGCCATCCAAAACCGAACGACCAGGATAATAAATAAATATAATAATAATAATAATAATAACATACCTTAGTATATCTATGAAGCGATCACGCGACATTGTTGCCGTATAAAATTGTCGAGAAAATGCATCGCTTGTCTTCCACAGGTCCTGCTTGCGTTCACGTGATTCTCTGAACCGCCCAATAAGTAGAGGAAGACCAAAAAATGCATCGAGTTCAATGCGGTCCACTGGCTTCCAGTGTTTATTTGGCGGCATACTCTTCGTTGCCTTGATGTTTGTGTACAGAATGATCGTATGGATGATTTCATCATTCATAAATAAATGGAAACATTCATCCACCGTTTCTACGTGTTCACTTTTTTCTGTAAGTGAACACTTACGTGAAAGGTCTTCGACTGCTCCGTTATTTGGTGCAATGTACTGCCAGTTACGTCCAAATACAATTTCGTTTTCTGGAACAGTATTTTCTTCAGATTCTGACGTATCAGATTCGTCGGATTCCCAATCCTGCACCTCTGGCTCAGAATCACTATTCGAAGCACTTCCACCATCCGATGACTGTTCGCAGTTCTGAACGTCTTCGTGGTCTTCCGCAAAAAGAGATTGGTCTTTCGCAAAAAGAGATTGCTCGTCGTTTGGTAGTAGAGACATTGTATCAATTCAAACAAAACGACACCACTACGATAACACTAATAACAATGATAACAACGATAACGATAATAACAATGATAATAATAAAAACAACAAAGCTAACAACAATCCCAGGAAAAAACACGAGAAAGCAGCGAAGCGTCGTTGTCGGCTATACATTTGCGAATGCCACAAGGCAACGCAGTCGCTTCGAGCTTCCGACTCTTTAGGCCCCGGAAAAACCCCGGTTTATGACACCCCCAAGCGCGAGGCCATCCTTGAGGACAGCTAAATGACCGCTTGGTTGCGAATAATATTAACAGCTCTGTTACTGTGTGCGTGAGCGCTCTAAAACGGTGGGTCAAAATTGACTCAGGCTCCGGATACAGAGGGTTAATATGATAATTAAGTATAACAAAAATAATATAAAAGACTATTATTCACTATCAGAGTTTGTGTTTGATCGAATTTTTGGCGCTTTTAGCATCTGCGAAGCTTCGGGATTGAGACGTAACTTTTTACGACACTTTTCCTGCAGACCTAATTCAGATATAATTGGATCTGAAGACCATAAAAAATAATTAAACAAATCTATGTTTGTATGTTCCGCAGAATCCTTCCTACTTCTGTGTTCCCTTATAAATTTAAAGTCTTTGTTTTTTGCCTCTTGCGCTTCTTCTCCAAGTTAACCAATAGGTAAAATCGCATGTTTTATAATTTCTGCTCCATGTATTAGCACTTTGTGAACGCTTGTAGGCATATAAAACCACGAATATAGAGACACAAATTTTTTTGCGGTTTCGAATGCATAAATTTTAAACTTTTCTGCGTCTACTTCATATCCACATGAAATGGTTTGAAGAATAGTGTACATCCTGTATATAATATCTTCGTCTACTCCAGTAATTTTCGCTGATTTTTTGTAATCTTTAAAAAAAGTTCGTGCTGTATTTCCTGTATTGGTGGACCCATAACCGGGTTTCGGCTGATCAACTAATATCCCAAGTTCTTTCCTAAGATCATCAATAATCCGTTTCTTTCTTATCTCCATTTTATTTTTATTTTCGCCTCTTGCTTGCCACTTTTTTATATCTAATCTGTAAGCTACATGTAAACAACACTCGAAGAAACGAATCCACGAGTGTAGGCTAGAAAGACCAAAACTATACGTTTCTAATCTCGGTAATCTATTTTTAATGTTTCCCAAATCATTCATTTTTGTCGGGTTTGCCAGACATATATAACAACTTTGGGTGGACTTTGTCTTCGTTAAAGTGTGACACACTTTGCCATCGACCATTGTCAATATTAATTTAAAATTAATAGATTTATCTTGATATACAAAAGTTTGTAAATTAGCAATTTGGTTATGAATTTTATTTGTTTCCTCTTCAGTCAGTTCTGGAGTTTCTTTAGCAAAAATAAACTTTATTGCTCTGCAAAATCTCGTTGAAGATGGAACTCGGTTTTGCCATATAACATTTGTTTCATTTTCACTATCATGCAACTGTATAGGAACTAGGGACACAATGAACACAGAAGAATCACCTTCTTTTAAATGTGTTAATTGTCTGTAGTTACTTTGTCCAGAGCTTCTATCTATGCCCCATTTACAGATCAAATTAAATTATGTGCTAGGCAAAGATTTAAATACTTCTTCTTGAAGTTTACATAAACGCCTTGCTGTTAAATTAAGCAGGTCTTGCAATTTAATTTCTACACTATTCTCCTGTATTATTAAAGAATTTTCGTCAGCATAACATAATTGTTTAGCTGATAATATCTTGTTCCATGATGGATAAACGTTTGCATTACACTTCTTAGCAGACGATCTATATGCCAGATATGTTGATTTACTCGATTTTGTATTAATAACACTGTTCTACAAATTCAATTTTTTTTTCTGTTTTTCAATATCCACTAGGTGATTCTTGTAGAGCTTTGTGCCCTAAACACGAATCCGAAAATGGAATTGCTGTATCACCCTCAGTTTTCGAAAAACACGAGTTTTTGTGAAAACGTACAATTTTGGGCAAAAGCGAGATATTACGCGAAAATTAAAAACATCAGACAGTTCCAATTAATCTTAAAAGATAGAGGAGAGATTCCTGAATATGCTAACATCGATAATTATAATATTTTGTACTTTTGAACGGTTGTAAATGATCGCCAAAGTTTGAAAAAGTGTCGAAGTACATACTTTATACACAATACTTTTGCATATTTACGAAAAGTTGTTTACCTGACACGAAATCTATACACAGGATCTGATTCTGCAGACATTTCTGAAGAAGAAACTGACCAACAGAAGTGTAAAAGCTGTTCTCAATTGTCACAGGTCGAGAAAATGTGTATTTGCAACGCGTGCACGACGTTTGACCGCCACGCGGCCATCGCTCGCTTATCTCGGCGCGGCAGTGCCGTAACTAGGTACTGTCCTCCGCTCACTTGAAGTCCCGCGGAAGGAATGCGGGAGAAGTAGAAGGGGCACACGTATTCCCACGCACACATTGGTCTCTAGCTCGCTATTCGTCGCGGCAGTTACACACACATGTGGACTGCCTGAGAGCAAGGGAGCGAGACAGATTAATGGGCGGTCCGACTCCCCTTGCCCCTGTGCCGTCTCGCGGGACTTCAAGTCAGCGGACCGCTGTACCTACAAGCGAAACTGGTATAATGGTGCAATAGGGTATGCACTCTGTATACAGGGTGAGGCATTTTAAACAGGTCACCTGAATAACTCGCTTGTTTTTGAAGATAGGAGAAAATGCATTAGACCAAACTTATTTGGTATCGGGGGGCTCATAATCTGGTATTACCAATTTTTTTGTAGGTGGAGGCGTCAAGGAGATATGAAGGTCAACTTTGTTTTTTTAAATGGAACAGTATATTTTATTACTTACATTCTGATAGAGTGTTTCAAGGCGAATACAATGACCTATTATTAAGGTCATTCAAGGTCACCCAAAGTCAACTGCAATAGAAAATAAATTGTGTCAAAGCACTCTTCGAACACTTGGATACTTTGATACTGCTATTACAAGTGTTCAAAATGGCGACCTTGAACATGGATACATAGTCTAAATCGTTGCAATACTGATGACACTGCCTGGCAAATTTCATTTGTATCTATTACAGAGCAAGCTCTTCTTATACGTTCTTGCATGTCAAGTTTGGTAGTTGGTTTTTCGCGGTACACTTCTGCCTTTAATTTTCCCCACAAATAAAAATCGAGAGGTGTCAGGTCTGGGGATCGTGCCGGCCATTTGTTACTTCCTGATCGACCTACCCAAGAATCTCCAAATTTTCTATTTAGAAATTCTGTAACATTGCGTGCTGAATGAGCAGGGCATCCGTCTTGCTGGAACCACATGGATTGTCGTATGTCCAGTGAAGTGTCTTCTAACAATTCTGGCAAAACGTCTTCTAAGATTCTCAGGTACTTACTACTATTTAGCGTGCCATCAATAAAATATGGACCAATTATTTTATTATGAAGAAGACCGCACCAGACGTTTACAGACCAAGGTCTCTGTTTGTCGACTTCTCTCAACCATCGTGGATTATCTACCGACCAGTAGTGCATGTTGTGACGGTTAATTGCTCCATGGTTTGTAAATGTGGCCTCATCGGTAAATAACAATTTACTCAAGAACATTTCATCGTCTTGTAGTTTTTGTAAGCCCCATTCACAAAATTGTAAACGTTTTGTATAATCATTTTCAGTTAATTGTTGATGAAGTGATATGTGGAACGGATGAAATTTGTTAATGTGTAATATTCGTAAAATACTTCGTTGACTGATGCCACTTTCGCGTTCCAGTTGTCTTGTACTAACATGTGGATCTTGTATTACAGCTGCTACAATATTTATCGAGTTTCCATCATCAGTTGCTCGTTTGGCAAGATTACGTGTTTTGTTATCCACAGTTCCAGTTTCTTGGAACTTTTTTATAATGTTTGTAAAGACAGAAAGTGAAGGTCTATTATTACGATCGGGAAATCTTTCACTATACACACGTACCGCTTCCCTCATAATTCTATGACATTCACCATAAATAAGAACCATTTCTACTTTCCCTGCTATCGTGTAACGCATTTTAGAAAACTAAACACTTAGACTGAATAAATGTTACGAAGCTGTGCTCTAGTCGGTAGTAAAATTACCAATAATGTTTGAGGATACGGATAAGCGTACAATGTGATTGAATGTTTGTTTATCTTTTGTGACCCGTGTCACGCAATACACACACGTGATACACAAGTATTCGAAATGTACTCTGACACAATTTATTTTCTATTGCAGTTGACTTTGGGTGACCTTGAATGACCTTAATAATAGGTCATTGTATTCGCCTTGAAACACTCTATCAGAATGTAAGTAATAAAATATACTGTTCCATTTAAAAAAACAAAGTTGACCTTCATATCTCCTTGACGCCTCCACCTACAAAAAAATTGGTAATACCAGATTATGAGCCCCCCGATACCAAATAAGTTTGGTCTAATGCATTTTCTCCTATCTTCAAAAACAAGCGAGTTATTCAGGTGACCTGTTTAAAATGCCTCACCCTGTATACGTCGCGCGTCGCATCGCTGTCAGTAACCAATTTGTCTTTTGTTGTTACCTATTCTAAATTAATAGTATATAAATATATATATATATATGTACATAGTATATTTTTCGTAAAATATGTTATAAATTAAAAATATGAAAAAATTGAAAAACAAATAATATTTTATTGGAAATAACTTTTACTATGTAAAACATTGATGTTTATGATAACAGGTTGGATGAACTCCCTTTTCACATTGTACACAAATCAGATGCGATCTTTTTCTCTTATTTTTAGTGCTACACACTACGCAATTCCGTAAGTTGCGTTGTGGCAACTTTACTAAACGTAGCCTATTTTCGTCTAAAAAATCACGTTGAAAAACTCGTACCCTCTTCTCTTTCATCCATTCACGCCCAATATCAAAAATAATTCGCGAAATAAAATCTAACCGGGTCATTGCTCTATTATTCGCATTTTTTTTATAAATAATATAAGCATTCAAAACCATGCGATTCATGATATTGAAAGCAACCTTTTTCCAATATTTTACGGTTCTACGTTCATCAAGATATGTGTATAACATTTTATCAGATTCGTCTACACCTCCCATGAAGGTATTATACGAGTGAATGATAGCAGGTTTTGTTGAATGCCATTCTCTACCGTGTTTTTTCTTTGTTATCGTCACATTTTTTTCTTCACATTTAGTTGAAATTAGTATTACTGGTTTTTTTACGCTTTTCTTTTCACGATACGCACAAAGGAGCACATTATTATCTTTGAAATATTTCGGTTCATTTACATTAACTGTTTTTAAATGATCGGGAATACATTTTTTATTTCGTCTGATAGTTCCGGTTAAATAAGTATTGTTGGAATATAAATATCTTGCTAATTCAATACTACTAAAAAAGTTGTCAACAAAGACGTGATATCCTTGATGTAGACAATTACTTTCATTTAATAAATTAATCACGACATTATATCCTAGTCCAAACGTATTTTTGTCACTATTATTTCTTGATTTTGCGCCCTTGTAACAATAAAATGTTAAACAATATTTCGAAACGGCATCGCATAACATCCAAAATTTTATGCCCCAGCGATGATGTTTTTTGTTTGGCAAATATTGAGTTATACTCGAATGACATAACGTCCCAACTAAGGATTCGTCGATTGATAATTCCTTGTGAGGCGTATAATATAATTTAAAAACTCTGTTAGCGTGTTTAACAAGGGGTTCAAATCTCACACAGGGATCGTAATTAGGATGACTAGGTGGAAAACACAAAGAACTATCTACCAAATGAAAATACTTTAAAATTTCTTGAAACCTATTTCTTGAAAACATTTTCTTGAACCATGGTATCTGCCGTGAATTTTTGCTCCAATATGAAGTTATACTGGGTCTTCTTGTAATGCCCATTTCTAGAATCATTGCTATGAATGCTTTCAACTCCAATTCAGTAACTGGTGTCCATTTCGGTAGTTTAGACAAATCTGATGGTTCAAGAAGACTCCTCGAATATTCCGCGTAATTATTAGTCTCGGTAACCATTAGTGACAATAGTTCTGAATCAAAAAAGAGGTCAAAATAATGAATCGGTTTGCTCCAATTAGGAAAATTGCATTCAGCTTCAAAATTATCGATATTTTCTTCGGGTTTTCTGAGCAAGTCCTCTGCAGATGAATTATCGTGTGTCGAAAAATCGTTATCACTCTCCGAGCTACTGAATATACGCTTCTTGCTCTTCCTAACAGGAATGATGTCAGAGTCATCGGTGTCACTCGGGTAACTTGGATTTTCGTTTATGCTTGTAATTTTAGTTTTCCGGCTCATTATAGCTCCTTAGGGTTAAAATAAATTAATTTTAAAAATTACTCAATGAACCTCAGCTAACACCACACTTACCTTCTGCTTTATTTCGTCTAATAATTTCTACAAAGACACGGTTATGATGATCGCACTTTTATAACACTACTCTTTTATAACACTCCGTTCTTTCTGCCGCTTGCATAAAGAATGATGGTATAGAAATAGAAAAAACAAACACGAGAAGCGCGGCCCGATTATTTACCGCATTAAATATGACAAGCGCTATCGCGCTCTTCGGCTTTTTTCGACACGTAACCGGAGGAGCGCTATCGCGCTCTTCGGCTTTTTTCCACACATAATCGAAGGAGCGCGATCGCGCTCCTTGGCGTTTTTCGATCGTGTTTTTTCAAAACCCTCTGGTACGCAAACGGTTAAACTACCGAAAAACCTGGGCCCTTGACAAAACACTTTCTCCATAGGCCTGCCGAAGTTTTTCAAATGTTTCTGTTGCATTGTGTTCAAGTTTGAAGCAAAACTTGATAGCACACCGTTGCTCAAAATTGACGCCACTCATTTTTAGAACTGACAAGGAAAAACTGTTTCACGAAAACTAACGCTACGGAGAAACAAATGACTGTAGCGAGTTCAAACTCATACTGGGGTCGTATCACATGTGCACCTGACGCTGCTCAAAACCTCTCGTCTCCAGCTTTGCCGGATCGAAAGCGACGTTGCCAGTCTCATTACTTTATTTACACACCTCGTATGCGCCAGACCGGGGACTTATTGAGTGAACTGATACATCCAACAACGGACTCGGCCATACACACAATGCTTTATTAAGAAATTCATGAGAGATTTTAATTTTTGTTTAAAAACTCTGGCAGTTATGTCATGTCTATCAACTGGTGTTTGGCTATGTAGCAATTCCCTCTTGATTTCGGACCATTTTGGGTTACATGTGAATGTAACAAATGAGTCTGGGCGGCCATAATGCCTAACATATGACATAGCATCCTGAGCATATTCATGCATGTGGCGTGGGCTTCCTATATAAGTGGCTGGCAAAATTATCATTCTTCCCACATTATTCACATTGCCATCCGCATTTATAGCATCGCGGAGATGAATGTATTCCTCTGATCGTAGCTGTCGTTGGTTCAAACGGATGTATGTCAATCGTTCAGTCTCAATTTTGACATACATGTCAACTGCAAACTGATGAAAGAGTCTTTGACACATCAAAATATGATTTACTTCACCTTGACGGATCATGAGTCTGTATGAATAGAAATTCATAGCACTAACTTTTTTGTTGGTTTCAGCACCTGCAATCAAAAATGATAAATGTTTAATTTGTTACTTAGATGAATTGAATTTAAAAATATTATTTAATGTTGTTCAATTTATTTACCTGTTATTTTGATATTAAAATGGTATCCATCTTCCCCCTGCCAGAAGATCAAAGGATATTGTAATGCATCATAACTCCTGTGTGTTTCAAATACACGTTTTAAATCACTATTCCGACGATGAAGCACAATATCTCTAGATTGTAAATTTTCTCCCACAATGACAACAGCCACTTCGTCAATGGTAGGTGAATTAAACCTCCTTGTGTGTTCACCGGCAGGTGTTTTGTCAGCTCGAATGATAATATTGGGTCTGGGAAAAAGTTCGTGGCGTTTTTTTAGTAATATTCAACTGGTTTTTTTATAATGTGAAAATGAATTTATTTAAACCAAATATGCTCCATTGTTATCGACAATGTTTCGCCATTTTTCGGGTAGAGCCATGATGCCATCAGTGAAGAACTTCTGTTGTTTCTGATTGAAAAATTGTAGCAAGTGATTTTCACAGGCTTCTTTTGAAACTAGCTTCATTCCATTGAGAGAGTTCTGCAGTGATCGGAACAAGTGATAGTCAGAGGGTGCTATGTCTGGACTATACGGTGGGTGCATTAAAACTTCCCAACCAAGCTCTTGCAATTTTTGACGGGTCATCAAAGAAGTGTGTGGTCGGGCGTTGTCATGATGGAAGACAACACCTTTCCTATTACTCAATTCGGGGCGTTTTCTTTCAATTGCCTGGCGTAGTCTCTCAAGTTGTCCACAATAGAGTCTAGAGTCAATCGTTTGACCAACTGGAAGTAGCTCATGATGGACGATTCCCTTCCAGTCCCACCACACACACAGCATCACCTTTTTTAGCGTCAATCCTGGCTTCGCGAACGCTTGTGACGGTTCACTATCCCTTATCCACGATCTTTTACGCTTCCGATTGTCGTACGTGATCCATTTTTCATCGCCAGTTATGAGGCGTTTCAGAAATGGCTCGATTTCATTGCGTTTCAGCAGCACATCGCAGATGTTTATTCGGTCTATCATGTTTTTCGCGCTCAACTCGTGAGGAACCCATACATCGAGCTTTTTTTTGTAGTTAGCTTTGTGTAAATGGTTCAAAACAGTTTTGTGGTCAATGCCTAGCTCCAGACCAATATCGACACTGCTGATATGTTTATCTTGCTGGACTTTTTCAAGAATTTCATCAGCTTTTTGAGTGATTGGACGACCAGAGCGTGACTCATCTTTCACATCGAAATTCCCAGAACGAAAGCGAGCGAACCATTTCCGCGCAGCGGATTTTGATAAAGTACCTTCACCGTACACAGCACAAATTTTTTCACAAGCCTGCGCAGCGTTCTTCCCTTTGTCGTAATAAAATTGCAAAATATAGTGCAATTTTTCATTTTTTTTCTCCATCTTCAAACGCAAACAACTTTCTAATCACTGCACCAATTTCGATGTTTATAACCTCAAATTAACGCTTGAAGTGTCACCTTTCTAATGAACTTTTAGTGGTGTCGCTGCGATCTATGTTTCCTGAGTTAGTTGCAATTGACGTTGCCTATCTGGAAGAACGCCACGAACTTTTTCCCAGACCCAATATTATGGCTATCAGATCGCATCCGATCCAATGCTATTTTGAACATGTTTACTAAATTGTTATTCTGATGAAGAAACATTTGTAATTCATGGACAATGGTTCTCTTCACTGTTGGATTGTGAGCACAACGATTATCAACTTCCGCATCTGAATTGCCCATAAAATAAATTTGTATTATAAAAATTGATAATCTGCATCAGGTACTGGTAACAGTGCCCCCAGTAAGTGATAAATTTGTCCTTGTATCTGTAATTTTTAAAAATTTGTCCATTAATTATTTCTGATATATATTGTTACATCCACATACCCCTCCCCGCCTAAACATATTTTTTCTCGCGCACATTACGAACTATTGCCTACGTATCTATATTATTCTCACATACATACACATATAAACGTATATTATTCATTCATTTACTATCATATTATACAATCATTATTACTTACTTAATTACGTACTCTTAGCAATCGCCAGCCGGTATTACCGACGCACGGTGATACCGACTGTCGGTAACTTATTAACATATACTTACCTCCGATACTTATCTCTATACTTACCATTTGTATACTTATGATTTATACTGTTATACTTACTATTGTAAATCCACTGTTGTATGAGAGCCACTGCTTGAACATTTTCGCAGAGGACATTCTAGAATGTCCTCTGCGAGAATGAAACTCTAGAAATTTCGAGATAAAGGGAGATAAACTTTGCTACTCCTCAAGAATGCCGACTCAGCAAAACTGCTGACTCAGCATCAGCAAAAGATAAAGCAGTACCAGAAATGCTTATGGGAATTAGCACCTCTCTGAAGGCCAAGCTGATAAAAGTCAATATAAATACAGGGCCCGGAGCCCTCAGTAGTCAGTCTACTGGAAGCCGTTAATTAGCAAACATCAAGAAGTTATAAAGTACACAAACAATCGTATTAGTGGTAGTGTCTCTCATATTCAACACGTAAGTCTTTGTTATATTGCTTTAATAAATCTTATTGTTACAACTTGTCTCTTTTACTGACTTATACATTGTTGCATTCTATACTTTCGAACCGTGTATCTCCGATCCTTCCTACCTCTTATTTAAACGTGCGGTATCTCGTGAACCCCTATTATTACACAAATTTTCGCTAAATTGACTTAGATTATTTCACGATCGTCTACAAGAAGCTCAAACGTTACCAAATTTAACTCTATTTATTTATTGTTTTATCAACTGCCTGATTCTTATTCCACTCTAACATTCTACTCTTTCTTTCCGCCTTTGCCTGGTAGCGTCTCACAGGAAACGCACCGGACCTCCGATACACACGCTTGGTAGCGTCTCAGAAGAAACGCACCGGCCACTCATCCATTCTCACCCGGCTTGGTAGAGTCTCACAGGAAACGCACCGGGAACGACACCTCTAACATGAATAAGAATCGAGTGGGTATCTAGACGTTTTACTACCTTTGTTTATTAACAATTAGCTTACATACGTTTGGGTATTCTTAGACAACCCGGTCTAAACGACCTAATAAAACGACGCGTCGCGGCGGAATCAAACACCGCGCTCGCTTGGAGTACAAACGACGCATTCGCGAGTTACAAGAGCAATTGGCGCTTGGGATCCCGCAAGCCTCCAGCCATCCGGGCGAACCTTGTTATTCCCCGTTGTCGGAAGCCTCCACCCTCGACCTTGGACACCGAGAACCAGACGTCGAAGTTATTGATTTAACAAACGACAGTGATTGCGAATCTACCGTACTTGTCATACAGCCGCCTCTATCGCCAATTCCTTTTATCGATACGAACCAGGCCGCCAAGGTCCATTCCCATCAGGAGATACCTACGGAGATATTATCTCGATACATAAGCGAACTACCTAATATTCAGAATAATCTAATTCCTACTGATATTTATAATTGGTGCGCTCAAATGCAAGCAGTGTATAACAGTCACGAATAAATACTCATAGCTGCCTAAATCTTGGCATCCGCTCATTTCTCCTACTTTCTCATTACGCCTGCCCCTACCGAGTCGCTACGGTTGTAGGAACGTGTATTCGTTCGCCAACCCTCTGGACGATTCGGCGGACCCACCTGAAGGAAATAACGTTATAATCCTACCGGCAACGCTTCATCCTACGTCGATAATACTTACCTTACGCGCTCCACTTTACCTACAGTCGGGGATACCTGCTGCCGGTACGTCCTATACTCACCTTCCCTATTCCAAACGACGTTCTGAGCCGCTCCAGGACGCCGTTCCTCCCCGTCTGTAACATAAAATTGGTGACAGCGGTGGGATCCGTAACACTTATTGGTCAAATTTTACTCGTAAACTAACCGATTTATTAAATTCACAATGAGTACTAAGCCAAGACAGGGTGTACACACACGCTCCGCAGAAGGAACGGAATATTCCGCGGAAGAACTACAGGTTCTTGCCGAACAAGTACAGCAAAAGGAAAGAAGACTACGGGAACAAGAGCAACGTGCGGAGCAGGAACGACAAGCATTGGAGAAGAGACTCCAAGAAAGCCAGCTGAGGCTGGACCAGGAGCGAGACGACCTCACCCAAGAACGTACAGAGATGATTCAGGAGCATGAACAATTGAGAAGTGCAGTCCAAAATTTGATGGCAGAGGTCAGAGAATTGAGAAGTCGCCCAGTAGACCCTGACCGTACTAGTTTCCATCAACCTCCCAACGAAGGCCGCGCTAGAATAGAAGAAATAACAAGAGAATTTTTACCAGGGCCGTCACAAATTTCTACAAATTCCGAAGTCTCATCCGGAATCCACAAGCGAGTCAAGGAGGCCGCAGACGGCATACAGACGTTCGACGGCATGCGCCAGTTAGTTATTCCCTTTTGTGAATCGTGCTATCGTGCACGAGATTACTTACCTTCAAGTGACGAGCCCCTTTTAGTAAGAACAATTCTAAACAAATTGCGCGGACAAGCTTACAGAATAGTCGGTCGTTCCCAGTTCAATTCGGTCAGCGAGTTATGCAACAAAATCCGAAAGTTATTCTCTCCTTTTAAGAGTGCGAATTATTACCGTGGTGAACTAAGCAGGACATTCCAAACGCCAAATCAAAGTGTCCTCGACTTCGCCATCAAGATACGAGAGTTGCGCGATCTAATTATGGACGGTGACCAACAGCGATACGGAACGCTCGATCACCGAACCGAGCTCGAAATACAGAAGGAAGCAAGCGAAGCATTTATCCAAGGGTTATTACCCGACATCGCCACACGACTGAGGATCGAAGGATACGATACGCTGGACGACGCAATCGAAAAGGCGATCAAGATTCACACGGAAATTCAGGATGAACATGCGCGTTTCAGGCGTGGATACGAGCAGCACGATAGAAATCCAAGATACAGGAACTACGATAGAAACGCAGATCCTCGACATCGCACAGAACCACCCAAGCCGGAAAGACCTCGAGAAGACAAGCCTCGCTACGGCAACAATAATTACGGTAACGGGAGCAATTACCTAAACAACTACAACAATGGGAACGGTTATAGAGGTCGCAACGAAAGATTCGATACATCACGGCCCAACAATTACAACGATCCGGGGAAAAGAATACCCGAAAAGCAATGCAGATATTGCAAAAATCCTGGCCACACGATCGAAGAATGTAGGAAGTTGAAAGCTCGAAGGGAATATGAGCAGAATCAACAACGACCGGGAAACACCCACGGCCCGTCGCCGAACCGCGTGGGACAGGGCCCATCAAATCAAAACCGCGGTACGTACCCGATAGCAAGGGGGAAAAATCCACCCAAGGATCCACCTGTAAAGGAGACATCGCAGAAGCAGAAGGAAGACACGGATCAGGAAGAGGAGGAAATCCCAGAAGAGGGCATGTTGAGCCCACTATTCGAGTAATTGACATTAATAACATAAACACGGTACCCTCCGTCCGAATTAAAACGCCCAACACCAAGCGAAATACAAGTTTCATGATTGATTCCGGCGCAGAAGTAAACCTAATCAAGCAATCCGCCCTGATCTCCATAATCGATATCGATTCAAGTGTGCGTCCTGCCCTTAGGGGAATAGGACAAGGGTTAGCCCCGACACTGGGTCGAATATCTCTTGACATACTCGGGTACCCAGTCCCATTCCTTGTTGTAAACGATGATTTCACTATCCCTCATGATGGAATATTGGGCGCGGAATTTCTACACAGCCACCAAGCCAAGGTGGACTACGCAAAGAAGCTAATCAAATGGAACGAATGGTATATTCCATTTTATAATGAAGAATTTATTACTCTCAAACGAAGAACAGTAACGCCGGTAAACCTCTATGTTATTCACCCTAATCAAGAAACGGGGCACATTGAACGCAACTCAATCGCTAAAGGTGTTTTCTACGGGCAATGTCTAGTATCGAATAAAAATGGAAGAGCATACGTGAAATGTTATAATACTACTTTGAAGGACATCAAGACTCGGGTACCGATAGTCGAAACCATTCCTTATTCGACATTAGAGGATACAACTCAGCCTACATTTAATATTCATACGCTCAATAAAGAAACAGAAGCAACTAGAGCAGATAAAGTCATTGAATTATTGCGATTAGAACATCTAAACTCCGAAGAAAGAAGGCACATAGTCAACCTAGTTACAGAATATCAAGATTGTTTTCATTTACCAGGGGAACCATTAACATGCGCCAAAGGAATAGAACACAGAATAGAAACAACGGATAACCTACCCATTAATTCAAAGCAGTACAGATTTCCCCAAATCCATAAGCAGGAAATTGAAAGGCAGGTCCAAGAACTATTAAAAGACGGAATTGTGCGTCCATCTATGTCACCTTATAATTCGCCTATCTGGATAGTACCTAAGAAACCGGACTCCACAGGGAAAAAGAGATGGAGAGTCGTCATCGATTTCAGAAACCTCAATGAAAAAACCATAGGCGATGCATACCCGCTTCCCAACATCACAGAAATACTAGATCAAGTAGGAGGAGCCAAGTATTTCAGCGTTCTAGACTTAGCATCAGGATTTCATCAAATCCCCATGGCCGAACAAGACGCGCCAAAAACTGCTTTTTCAACTCCCTATGGACATTTTGAGTTCACCCGAATGCCTTTTGGACTAAAAAATGCGCCAGCTACCTTTCAACGCCATATGAACAACCTTCTATCCGGATTACAAGGGTGGGAACTGTTTATATATATGGATGATTTTGTCATTTACGCCTCATCGCTAACAGAACACCAAACCAAATTCAGAAAACTAATGCAAAGATTAGGAGAAGGAAACGTAAAATTACAGCCCGACAAATGCGAATTTTTACGGAAGGAGGTCGCATACTTGGGGCACATTTTGAGTAAAGAAGGCGTAAAACCCGATCCCAAGAAACTACAAGCAGTTCAGCGGTTCCCAGTACCCAAAAACCCAAAACAAATCAAACAATTTTTAGGACTCACCGGATACTATCGAAGATTCATTAAGGATTACTCTAAAATTGCAAAACCACTCACCGACTTATTAAAGAAGGACAAACCGTTTAATTGGAAGGATAATCAACAGGAAGCCTTTGAAACACTTCGCGACGCCCTGTGCAAATCTCCAATACTACAATTTCCAGATTTCACCAAGACTTTCATACTGACAACGGACGCGTCCGGATACGCAATCGGAGGAATTTTGAGCCAAGGAGAATTAGGTAAAGACCTCCCAATAGCATACACTTCAAGAGTTTTGAATCCTCATGAGCAAAAGTATTCTACCATAGAAAAGGAATGCCTAGCCGTCGTATACAGTGTTAACCATTTCCGACCCTATTTATACGGCAGAAAGTTTAAGATAGTCACAGACCATAGGCCGTTGGTCTGGTTGCATAATATCAAAGATCCTACATCAAGATTATGGAAGTGGAAATTAAAATTATCGGAATATGAATATGAAATAGTATATAAACAAGGGAAAACGAACCTAAACGCAGATGCACTATCCAGGAACCCTCCTCAAGTATTACCAGTGAACACATCCCCCTCCGACGAAGCTATTTCCTCACCAACCTATGTACCAAGACCTTTAACTCCCTCTCCCAAAGAACCACACATCATCACGAAACGTAAGCGAAGCGAGTCGCCAACACTAGTGGAACTACCTAGGAAAGCGCGAAGAAGACACGAACCACAAGAACAGGAGCCAGAGGGTATTAACAAAAGAAAGCGAAGCGAATCATTGGCATCATTAAAGCTACCGAGAAAAGAACCAAGAAAGAATACTGAACCAACGCCGGACGACGGCAGGAATCCAGAAATCGAGTTGGAAACAGTCGGCGAAGAAGAAGAAACCGAGGATACAAATTCATCATCATCTGACAGCGAAGACGAACCGTTATTCGACCCCGAACCGCGATTCGAAATTCTAAAAATCGTCAAATCTAAGGAACCTTTAATCTTGCAAAAGGACCACCTTGTCGTATTCTTAACCTACCAAGGCACGCCTGCGTGCGAGGGTGCGAAGGAGCTCCAAGCGTCAGGTCTACTTCCTGATCCTTCAGAAATTACACCAAATATTCCTAATGTGAAAACTCGCGACAAACGTTATATTATATCGATTCCAATACAGGAACGCCCTACAGCTCCAATTACCCGCACGCAAACGCTTGATGGATTAAGAATCATTAGATCAGTATTGGATGAACTCATGCTAGCTAGTTTCTCAATTAGACAGACCGATCCTTTAGGTGACGTCTCTTGGTACTTCATAGACAAACATTTAACGGAATTATTTAAAGATTATCGAATTACAATTACTTACTGTTCCAGCACCATCCGAGTTCCTCCAATCGAAACACGCGCAGAAATAATAGCAAACACTCACAATTCGGTCATCAACGGTCACAAAGGCGTAACAAAGACATTACAAAGAATTCGCGAAAAATTCATTTGGCATAATATGAAAAGTCAAGTACAATCTTACATACAATCGTGTAAAACGTGCCAATTAAAGAAACTAACTCGTATAAAAACAAAACAACCAATGGTTATTACAGACACGCCAGGACGTGCTTTCGATAAAGTCGCTATCGACATAATGGGCCCCCTTCCTATTACATCTTCAGGGAATAGGTACATTCTCACAATGCAGGATCTACTTACCAAGTATTCCATAGCCGTACCCCTCGAAGATACAACCTCAATTACTATTGCAGATCAAATTTTGAAAAGACTAATTGGCATATTCGGAGCCCCTAAAGCCATATTAACAGATCAAGGACCCAACTTAATATCTTCTATTATGAAATATCTAGCTAAACGATTTAACATAAAACAGTACAAAACTTCGACATATAGACCGCAGTCTAACGGCTCCCTGGAACGTTCGCATCACGTTTTAAGCGAATATCTAAAAATACAAACAGATCGAGGGAAGGAATGGGACACTTGGCTAGACCTTGCAATGTTATCATATAATACCAGCGTTCACGAGGGCACCCATTATACCCCCTACGAATTAGTTTTTGGCAGAACCGCTAGAATTCCAAGCACAGAACCAGACATAGACGACCGAATTGATGTCACTTACTTCGAGTACTTAAACGATTTATTTAAAACATTAAACGAAATCCAGGATAAAGCTCGCCAAAATCTGATTCAGGCCAAACACAGATCTAAAAGATATTATGACGCTAAACTAAATATTCAAGAGTTTCACCC